TCTACTAGTAGCTGGGGCCCGACTCATATAGTATGTCCCATATTATACATGACAGTCTATAACTTGGCCTAATACAAACTTTTTTTAAACTTCACCAGATATTTTGAGAGGATAAAGTTATTAGCATTTAAAGAGAGTCTTGAATACTAAAAAAATATACCCCACTGTTGGGAGCTGCAGAGGGAGCTTTATTAAAAATCCTATTGTGTATAAACCAGTTCAAAAAATTATATTAAGGTAGCTTCAAATCTCAATTTTTAGCCACATTTTACAAATAACAAAGAGATCCAAAAGAATTATTTTTAAGAGTTACAATATTAGGAACTTAGCTTCATAGGTGTTTAGAGGGCTTGAATTTGTGATGGTATAATACATTATTAGGGACTGTAACATACTCCAATTCTAACTAAATCCATCAGCCCGTGGTACATACTTTTTTAGAAAGATGTCATAATGACCCATATGTACATCTCAGTGCCTTGGAAGAAGACGATTCCAGTGACACATTCTGTGAGCTAAATCATCCGAACTTAATACTTTTACAAAAGTTATTCCAGTGCATTGCGCTATGATACCATGAATTCCAGCATGATGTACTGTGACAAAAGATATTCCTACGCGAAATGTTGTGACAAAAAAAGCCCCTGCATGATATAATGCAACAAAGAATTGCTCTGTAAATGGTTAGAAATGCAAGCATCAGTGATAAAAAATCTGACAGTTCATTAGTATCAATAATTAAGAAAATGCTTTTTTCAGCATTATCCATTACATTTTAAGTATTATTTGTTTTAAAATAGTATTATTGATAAGCAACCAAATTTTTTCAGATGTTATTTATTGATCAAATGCAACCTTCGGTGAGCAAGCATTAGCAATAAGAATCCTAAGAGATTTTAAATATTCATTATCAATAAAATTTTTCCCTTAGCTAGCTAGGATCTGTAACTAGGAATCTAATTTTTGTTACACATTACTTAGTTATTGAATTTGCTATTTGAGCAAGCATGTCGATGAAAAAATCCATCAGATTTAGGTACTATTTATGACTTAAATGCACCCTCAGGCAAGCCATCATTAGCAATTAAATAACTTACTTTTTTCTATATTTGTTAGTTCAAAGTGTCCTAAGGTAAGTAAACATTGTCAATTAACAACCTGACTGATACATAGTAGTAGTTACAAATTAAGTGTGTCCTTACCTAAAAACACGGTAGCAATCAGCAATCTAACTATTCCTAAGCATCATTTATTTATTAATGCAATATGCTTTTCAACAAGGTAGCATCAGCGATTCAAAGCCATTAGTTTTTTTAGCATTATGCATTTATAAAATTAAACCTAAGGCATTTAAAATTTGGCGATTTAAAAAAAAATAAAAAGAAAAAAAAAATTAATCGATTTAAGGAGCCTTTAAGCAATTCATCATCTGGGATTAAAAATCCTACCATTACTCAGTATTATATATTAATAAAATGTGCTCTTGGAAAAGTATGCATCAGTGATTAAAAAAATAATTTTTTTCTATCATTTATTTTTTTCAAGTTCCCTTAAAGAAATAAGTAACTATGACATACTAACTCAAAGTTTTTCGATGTCAAATAAAATAAAATGGGCCCATCACCAAGCAAACATTAACAATGAGAAACTTAGCAGTATCTCAGTATCATCATTTGTGTGAATGAGTTTTTAGAAGAGTAAAACATGAGCAATTACAAACCAAAGACATTTTTAATGTTATTTCTTGACGATATAAGAAGGCATGTGAGCATTGGCTTTTAGACACCTAACTAATTCTTAGCGTTTAATATAAATAAACTATGTTTATCCAAGCAAAAATTGTCAATAAGTAACCTAATTGCTTATTAGCATTATCGACAAAAAAAAATGCAAAATACAAAAATGTCCTTAAGCAAGAAACCTACTTATTCTTTGGTGTTATTTATCAATTAAATCGATCCTAACGCTAACAACAATCGGCAATTAGGAACATTATTTTTTTTTAATTATTGTTTATTTGTTAAATGTGCTTTAAAGTACAGAAGCATTAACAATAAGAAACTCAACCGTTCTTTCTATTACTTGTTCCTAAAATTTGCTTTCAGAAAAGCAAGCATCTGTGATTAAAAAACTAATTTACTTCCATAATATTGTTTTTTAATGTGCCCTAGAAAATAAGGAATTAATATTAAAAAACCTTGAAGTTTTAAAGAATTACTTATTTAAAATATTCTCTTAGGTAAACAACCATCAGCTATCAGAAGCCCAACACTTTATAAGTATTATATATTAATAAATTGGGACCTTAGGCAAGCAAGCATCAGTGATTAAAAATCTAATAGTTCTAACTATTATATAAAAACGATCTCTTTCATACACAATCATTGGTGACTAGGTACTCAACAGTTTTTTGATATTATTTATTAATTATATGTGGTGTAAGGGAAACAATCACGAGTTATGAGAAAACTAATTTTTTTTTTAGTATTAGTAATTAATAAATTATGACCTTAGGTGTGCAAGCTTTGGCAATAAGAAAACGTTTAGTTTCCTAATGTTATTAAATATTTAAGTTTTCTTATCTATCCAAAATCAATGGATAGAATTCTCAAAGTTTTTTTAGTATTATTCAGAAGTTATTGATAAAACAAGTGGAGTAAGAGTAAACACAGATCTTTATGGATTAATGTTATATATGCCATCAACATATTTTTTATTTTAAAGCTACATTTAATGATATGCTAGTTAAGAAATTAGCCTTTAGTCAAACACATTTCAAAACATTTTACGCAGTAACAAACAAGAAGAAAAAAATTTTTTTTTAATTACAAATCTACTTATGCAAGTTTGATTCAGACAGTTGAGCTAAAAGAGATTTTTGTATGTAATTTATCGAGTGGACCTATGACATTTAAAGCTTAAACTCAAATTATATTAATAATGGAAAAGGAAGTTGGACATAGCGCTATATGTTCAATAGGATTTCTGGGATTTATAAGTCTGTCTAATGCGAATCTATTAGTCAATTTACCTAGTGTGATACGGAACGTGTTCCAACTGTTGCACAAAGTTTTGTCTCTAATAAAGTCACACAACAGGATTAATAGACAAGACACCAATAAAAATTAATTTCTTTTGTTTTAAGTGAAAAATGAAAAGTGAAATGACATTTCCTGCAACTAGATTATTTTTTAACGCACATAGAGCGACAAGTTCAAAAAGATCTTACTGCATTTTGGAATAGTTGGTCACGACATGTCAACATTTTATTTTTCAGCCATCAAGACAAGCTGCGCAAGCAACTATGCCACCTTTTTTCAAACAAGAGTACAAAGCTGCCAAATAATTATTTACTGTATAAAATGTGAGGTAAAACAGCCAGTTCCTATTGAGTTACAAGTCAAATTTAACTCTTACTATGATAAGGAATAAAGATTTAAAGGATGAAAGTGCTAGTAGGGTGTACTCAGGATGCATTCCTCTTGCAATTTAGTGTTATAGTGGACGTGCCAGTGACCTCCAAATTACTGTATTATCTGATGTTTTGGATTTTTTAGAATCAGGTGACCTTTTTTTATATATAAAAGATTCCGTTAGATCAGAACTTTGTTAAATGATTCTCGAAAAAGTGTTTTAGTTGTAATGCAACTTTTTTCTTAATGGTAATAAAGTATTTTTAAAAAGAAAGCTAGGATGACATTCATTGATTATTTCTATACTAAGAAAAAATGACTTTAAAAAAAATTGAACTTTTTTCAGTCCATATTTAAGAAAATTATAGGTCGCACTAGTTCTTCAGACTCATAAAAATAGCTTTTAACCAAATTCAAATGTCAGATGAGTTCAATGTGTTAAGTTTATTTTTTGTAAGAAATTTCTGAAGCCCTTATACTCTGGCAATGAATAGTATTTTTTCTAATGAACATGGCACCTTGAACAGTTCTGCAATCCAAGCAGAAAAACGGTCCAAGTTTTTTTTTGGTGCAACATACATTTCTTTCTACTTTGATGCAAGTTTTTATAAACTACCAGCCAAAAGTCAATATTTCTTAGTTTGATTTTGTTAAAATATAAGTACTTAATAGTATGATACACCAAGTGTCATAGAAGAAATATTTTGTGCCAAAAAGAAAACTTGACCTTTTTTATGTTTAGACTTTAGAACTTTTCAAGGCCACAGACTCATGAGGAAGAATACTATTTATTGCCAATGTATAAGGGCTTCAGCAATTTTATACAAAATATCAACTCAACAAATCAAACTTAACTAGCACTTCAGTTAAGTTTTTGTAATAAGCTTTTTTTGTAGGAATATCGTAAGTTTTTAGGAAAATACCATTTTTATTGTTCATATGGAAAAACTTAACGAAATTAAATACGTAGTGACCTACAACAGTTCCACTTAATTTTCACTTGAAGTTTTTCGTCTAAAGATGTTTTGAATACGTGGTGAATTCGTACGATAAGCTCATTAATTCAACGAACGCAATAAATTTTTTTTGTAAGTACAGTTTAAGGATTTTGATCACTGATCCTTTTTCCTTTTTTTTTTTTACTAAGCTACTTCATCACATAATTCTTAGCAATTTTTCCTTTATTTTTCTTTTCTTTAGATTTCTTTAACTATGCATTAATTATTATGATTTTTTCGTATTTTAATAAAATTGAAGCATTCCAAATTACAGTTATTTAATAACTAAGTACTTCTTAGAAAATACAATTATTTATTGTAAAAAAATGTACGCAAACCATGCCTTCTGATATTACTTTCTGTAAAATGCGGAATTTAACTACATTAGATTAATAGTTGTTTATTAATACTCGATCGATAAAAAAAACTTAAGTAGTAATTTTAGATGAATTTCTAGTCCTGAGATGAAACAAAAAGAACTTAATAGTAATAGTAGTAATAAGAAATGTGGCTCAATAACGTGCGTTAAACCTCAGTGATGTCAGATTTAATGCATGGACAAAAAAGTTTACACACTCAACTACGACAGCTATGGCCCTTCGTAGCACGTTATTGTGTTTAAGCTGTGAAAATTGATGGGGCTCAGATTGAAGGTATGGTAGGGGAAGCCCTTTCTCCATAGCCTGACTGTGTTTAACTAAAACAGAAGAAGCATTATTGTTGAGAATTTAGGCAAAAATCTTGGTTATTAGCATTATTGGTCAGTCGTACGAGCTCAAAAGTGGTCGAGTTTAGCCAACTCAAAATCGTATTACTAACTTCGTATAATATACTTATGTAGCTACATGTTCCACACAAATAGTTAAAATGTGTGTGTGTTTGTGTGTATACACTGAGAAAGAAGTGGGAGTGGTGATGAACCAGCGGTGGTGAGGTTATGCTCTCATAGTTGTAGGGCGCATGTAGCGCCACTTACGGTACAACAGGTATTCCACACTCGAAGGATCGCTTGTGTCCTGCATGAGTAGGAGCTGTGGCATCTCACTGGGTGGACAAAATTGCACCTTCAGTGAAATAGCTACATACGAGACAGTCGCAGTCTCGCCAAGTGAGATTGTGTATGCACCGCAAGGGGGGCTCTAGTCTCTCGCTGTGGAACAGCAGCTGCCCCACTCGAGCGTAGACAAGTAGCCCTACTGTCTGGTAAAGCAGAGCTCCTTTGAAAGAGTTCTGCTCTCCCACTTCTTTCTCAGTGTAGGGGCTTGTGCAGTGCAGACTACAGTCTACCAGGTCCATATTTTTTATTTTATTATTTTTCTTTTAATAAATGATGTATACTTATATATTTGACGATCAATTGTTGGACTTTCGATTCAAAAAAAAATTTAGGTCATTCTACGAGGTCTGGCAAACTTCAAGGTCTGCAATGAACAGATGCAATGAACAAATTCTTTGTTATTTTAATATATTTTTTCAATGGTCCGTGACTCAAATTAACTGAGATTTTTTGGGTCCTGCTGGATCAACTCAAGAAAAATTCTTACGACGGCTTTCGTATTTTGTAAAAGAAAAATAAGATTTTTTTTGCCTAATTGTACATTCATTAGTATGTCTGTTCTAATAAACTCAACGATAGATGCTTACGGCGTACAATAAATTTTACGCAATTATTCATGAATACACAAGCAGGGTAGATAAAATAAAAGAAAAACAGTGCATAACACCTTCCAAATTTAAGATATTGCCAAATAGTATAAAAAAAATTCAGATCTCCCAACAAAAGCATAACTGTTAGTCACTGTCTTTTTTTTATAGGACACAGATTGGTTAAATATGATATATTTCACATATATCTTAAAAAATCCTTTTTTCGCCACAACCATATTTGTTCAAGAAAGTTGTCACATTTAAACTAAAGTTTCTAACAAGAAATTTGTTATAATATGTAGAAAAAATACTTCCTTTTTCATTTTTTAAAAAATTTTCTTAACATGTTTCTTCCATGATGAGGGGGTAGGATAATTTAACGCAAGGTAGTAAACAGTACTGACAAAACTGTAAAAATTTTGAGTGAAGCATATCATATGTAAGTAATTTGTGAAAATTTTTAGGTACTAAAAAATAAAAAAAAATTAAAAAGTATTGGATACAATAACTTAAGCAGTCAGATTTTTTTAGTTACTTTTTTTTAGAAAACATGGTGTGCATTACAAAAAGGATAAGTTGATTGAAAATGTCTTATAAGTCATAATTTTAAGATACTGAATGATAAAAGATATATTTTGATTTTCAAACGTCAAACTTTGACTTTAACATGTATGAGTCCATCAGCTTCTGACTAAGTGATAACACAAACTCATAAATTATAGAAATAAAATGGAAGAAGAAAGAAAAGAAAAAAACTTTTTTTTTACTTTCATACCAATAACAAAAGGATTTATACCATCTGGTACTTCCTTATATAATCATGATAACTTAAAACTTGTAAGATATCATTGACTGTTGGCCCCTAACTTTTTTTCATGCTTATACACTAGATACATGTAATGCACATTACATGTAAGATTGTAAAACTTACTGACATTTCCAAAGCCCCAGTAGCTGCAATTAGAGGCACAGCAGTACTGAAAAATCCTGCTAAGAACAGAGGAAATAATACGTAATAATTGAGTATATATAATTAACAAAATTAAAGTAACTAAAGATGATATATGACAAAAGTCATTTGGATTGTTTAAATAGTCAAATTGTTAGACTTTTTTTGTCTTTTAACAAGTGATTTTAATGCAATATAAGAATTTTGTAAAAAAAACTACTAGTTCTGTAAATCTCTAACTCTAGAGGAGATTTATTCCTTTGGCAACCTTAATCGTGACCATCTAAACAAGTTTAAGAAAAGGAATAAGAAGCTAACTCATAGACTTGGTATGATAGATTGTAAATTATTACTTATCTGATTTAGTTGGAAAAATCATAGTACGTTAAGTTAATCTTCTTTACATAAAACGATAATATGTCTCATTCATAAAACATAAGATTTTCAAAACGTAGAATAACGTAAAAAAACTTAAATTTTTTACAACGGGACTTTCCGTTTCTACTGACTATTAGTCATCCTTATGCGTACAATCATACATAAGTTTGAAAAAGGAAAATTTATTCAAAATCTTATAGCTACATAAAAATTGACTGGATTTTGGCTTACTTGTCCAACTTGATAGTGTCTGACAATAGTCCCTTTACCATATATTCCACCAGCTTCATGAGGTCTTGGTACTGGAACATGATAGGGATCTCCACAAATGCCACACTTTCCTTCATTTTGACCCCATTGAACTAAAACAAAAAAACAAAACAAAAAAACTTCGATATTTAAAACACTTAAAAATTAAAATTTTACTGTAAAATGAAAATCTTATGTATAAGCTCTGCCCCCTGCTCACTTTTGGTTTTTGATTCTATTGTAGTTTCTGACCCTAGAATAACCAACTATTTAGATTCCAATAACAAAAGGAATCACTAAGAAAAAAGTTAGGATGTAAATGTTTTTTCACCATTCTTTTACCAAAATATGGCTTTAAATTCTTGGTTTCAGAAAAGAAGTTGCTATATTCATGTGGATAAAAAAGTTGCATTCTCTGTTTATAGAAAATTATTTTCACGTAATCTTCTTTAAAACTGCTTTTTGATTTGTAGGCAAAGGTACACGCAGATTACACCAAAATAGTTTTTAAGTAAGGAGACTATACAATTTTCACTTGGACGGTTACATTGCCTTCTTACCTCTGAAATCGTGGAGAAAATCTTGTATTTAAACGAAGGGCTGTACAAAATTATGCACAATAAACGAGATGAACGTAAGGCATTGACTCTCTTTGTATTGGCCTTTGTGGCTTTTAACTTTGAAAGTTATTGCACACTTGAAAAGGGAATGCTATACTTTCAACCCACGTAATATAATATATAATTTCCTTAAAGTAAGCATATGCTTTAAAGTAATAATCATATAATTTTATAGAATGCCTTTTTATTACTTCAAGAGTTACAACAATAATTAATGCCTTATGTGACTCATGTTATTTAATCATGCAGATTTTTTTACGGAGTTTATTGGTCACTCACTTGGATTATGGCAATGATCACAGGGGATTGGACTCATGGATTTACAGATTTTTCGTTTTGGAATGGAGTTTGTGGATGTGTTAACGATAAAAGGAAAGGAAAGAAAAGTATCAAGAAAGAAAAAGGTGTTGAATATTCATTGAACTTTTTTTTATAGGGATATTAACCTTTTTACGTAAACAAAGTAATACTGCAGTTGTTTTGAAGTATTGTTTCAAATTCTTCTGTACATTTGTCAATGCAACTCTGAAGTCCCTTTGCTATCTTATTAACAGAGTTCAATTGTTGTCAAGTTTATCATAAAGATAACGAAAATAATACACATAAATTTCGATCTGCCCTTTTCAAATTTTTCTTTATAAAACCTCTCAACAACCTTTTGATTGACCTGATCAAATTAAATAGATTAAAGATTTTTATTCAGTGGCTGCAAAAATATAAAGTGAGAGTAACATAATAAATGTCTAAGTTTTCAGACTGTTCTTAACAATTTTATTGGTAAAATGAAATAAGTATCTAATGAAGGTTAGCCGCTATAACTGACTCCAAATTGCTTCAAAAATGGATTTTATAAACAATGTTGTAGAAAACTTTTCTACACACAATATAAACATTTGAAATACCAATCTTAATATGTATTCAAACTGATTCTACTATAAAGTAATTTTGTAAAAAAATTGGTAACATTTTGTAAAATAAAATATTTGAAAAACTATGTCTGTTTCTGGCTTATGTAGGTAAGCTGCTCGTACAGCTAAAGTGTTTCTATATTGCTTAAAAGAAAGCTTGAATTAAGCTCTATTTATTGAAAATAAAATTTTTTTCAAGTAGTGCCTTACTAATAAAAAATTACAGTGGTTGACAGAAAAGCAATAAAATTTGTTCAAAAATAATACCTGCGTATCTTGGATAATAAGGTGAAAAAATAGACAAACGACAGTAGACTATTATATTAATGCACGTCAACTATTATGTTAATGCATGCAACTCAGAGGAATGATCTAAGTCTATGATGACAGAATTATCCATTTATAAATAGTCAAGTAAACTTGAGACTGTGAAAGTTTAATGTTTTATAGGAAAAAAAATGTTTAAAAAAACTATAATATATATGAGGAAGCACATCATCAAGTCTCTAGTTTTTTAAGTACATTCATATCCAATTTTATTTCTAATCTATATTGTTTTTAGTAATTAAAAAACTTTAAAAAATAATTATGAACTTTCAATATGACTATACTTACTCTTTCTTCAGACTGTGTACATTATGTTCAGTAGCAGCTTTTTTTTGTACTTGTATCATGCAGGTAATTGTGTGTCAATGTATATCTAATGATATGAGGACCTCAACACACTTTTTAGCAAGTAGAATTAGACGTCCGAAAATAAATTTTTGCTTAAGCTGTTAACTCCTGGTTTTCTCCAATTATTTAAAAATAAAGCACTACATAAAATACACAAAATTTAAAAAATAATGTCCCACCGTGTCTATCATTGTTAATAATTGACAAAAATTCCACTTTTTTTTTTCTTACAAGTCTTCTCTTAATCTAGGGAAAAACATGAATCGTATTTAAAAATTTTTTATGTTGAATTTGTCACTTACTTTATCTATCTACAATCTAAAAGAATCAAAATGTTTTCTGAGTATCAGCATTGCTTAGTTTAAAATCACCCAAAAGATATACTTCATTTTCATGTTTTTAAAGTTATAATTGCTCTAATTACAATACAATACTTAAAATTTATTAAAATGTTCTAAAAGTCTTGTCAAAGTAGTAGTAAAAAACCAAAAACGTTTTGTAGAATAGGTATTAAATAATTTGTTACCCGTTAGCTGGGGATTGCGACTAGCGTGTATTCTTCAATTTTGTACTTACTATGTAAGTTGTATTCAGGAAGAGATCAGGTTGTTTACGGTCTTGTGCGGTGTTCACTGCAGCAACCTGTAGTGTAGTGTAGGTAGCGATATAGAATAGCTTTTTCTTATGCTTTATAGTAAACACTTACAAATCCCCTTTTACTATAGATTACAACCAGTGGCAGCTATAGTTGACATCACCCAAGACAAGCGAATACTCTAAGATAACATTCTGTATGTATTTAAGTATATTTTCTAATTTTATGAATATCCACTTAAGTTACAATGTCGATGTGGTACACCACTGAGACAATGGCCCCAGTGTCATGGCTTGCTGTAATATTTATAGTACGTTGCACTTGGCATTTTGTTAACACTTACACTCACAATAGGGGATTCGGGTTGACTCGAAGATATTAGAACCATATAATGGGGGCCAACTGCCTTAACACACTACAATACATAGCACAAACACGAAGTACTGTCACCTACCAGGATATCACTGGTGACGATCTCCTTCATCCTCTTAGCGATGCTTTCTGCGTCAGGGGCACAGGGGAACCTGAGTGGCCATGCAAAGACTGTATGTGTGGCACTGGGATCTTGGCGTCATGGCTTATTGCTTTACTGTATCTTGCCAGTCAAGAGTCTACTAATGCCACGCCATGCTACTCCGATGCTAGCCTCGCAGTGAGCTCAAGTATCTATCCATATCTATCCACGCAGGTGCACCGAATGCTATGCGGCTCACCACACACTATCAGAGAATACAGTACTACAGATTGGCTACAATGACTATGTTTGCTCCCGGGACGCTAACATACCAATAGCTGCTGTTCACGGACTTACTTTATCAAAGTCGCACTCGTACTCATATCTCCAGGATATAGGTAGGAAGCACGAAAGGGGAGTCACACTGAGCTCTATAGCTACCCTTAATGCTATGGCCCTCAGGCCTCATACCAAAAATTCGTACATTACAGGAAGCCTCATGCAGAAAAGAGAGCTAGCTCTCTACACGGCTCTCACCAACATTCTGTCAGTGACAAGAGTTTTGTAACGTGTTAGGACGTTTTTTCACTTTGCCACGTCAGGGTATTTATTTTCTTATTTAATGTTGTAAGCTTTTGCAAATGTTAAGAAATTAAAATGTTTTAATTAAAATTATTTTCAGTATAAAAAACTCTCTTTCCGAGTTTTTTTCCAGCTATAATTTCTGCTTTAATATACTATTAAAATAACATTATAATTTGTAATCTTGTACCGTTACATAAGCCATCATTGATACTTAAATTTCGTATCAACATAACAATTGCTCTAATTTTCAACTTAAGCTTACAAGGAGGTAAGCCTTAATATCTTTACCAAAAATATCGGAACAAATATCGATTGTTTTTTATTTATTTGGTACCTAAAATGATTTAACTTTTCCTTCTTTAATATCTAATAACAATTTTAAAAATGTTTTGTCTAACAGACGAATACTCATATAAAGTTTCAGAAAACAAAGCACCGACCCAAGATATACCGATTCAATACTTTTTTGTATCATCATGCACTTATTACCGTTTATTAAAGCTAAAAGAATCTGTCTAATGTCTCTGTTCACTTAAGAGTAAATATTGTAGAAGAAGGCTGTCGTAATCGGCATAACGTGCGCTTTAATGTTTGTGTATAGGATAATGGAAGTCTGGTGTAGTGGGGGCACACACACTTGGTTGTTAGCTCGAATAATTCGGAACACTTACTCTGGCAAGTATGGGTGCTCCCTCTTCGGCTTCCAGCACCAACTCTCTTTGCTCGCGAGCTAGCTCGTTCGGCTAAACTCTTTCTTCTTGCTCACGGACCTTTGAAGTAGTCGACTCCCACGTTGTCAATCCTGATATTCAAAGCCGCTACAATACTTTTTTGGCTAAGCATGCAACGCATTGTGTCATGATCTGGGCAGCCTCCTTCACGCCACTAAGTCATCGTCTGTAAGTTATAGTGAACGTCCTCTTCGAGTAGAGGTGATCTTATTGACAAAAAAAGAGTTAATTTCATCAGCCTAATTCTTTGGGGCCAACTCAAATGACTAGCTTCGTCATCGTCTTGAGCTGAGCCCTTTCATAGTCAACTTGTTGGCGTTATCATCCAAAGCCAACTCGAGTGACTAGCTTCGTCGTTGTCTCGAGCTGGGTTCTTTTACTGTGAACTTGTTTGCGATACCACATCCAAGACCAACTCGAACGACTTGCTTGGTCGTTGTCTCGAGGTTAGTTCCTTTACATTACATTCTGAAAGTCATGTTTCCTCGTAGCAAACTCTTGGTTGAATATCCTTGTATAGTACTGAGTTAAATACAGGTTTTCTA